AAGGAATCATTAATTCAACAAAATATAAATAATTTTCATTAATAATTTATTTTTATTTTTCGATTATTCAGATTATACATAATCAGAAGTAAACAAATAGTAAACTAAAATTTTCGAATATTAAAAATAGTGTTTGTAATATTAATTCATTTTATATATGTAGAATATTGTTGATTTTTAATACACAATAATAATTAATAATTATTGTATAAATATATAATTTTATTATATTGTAATAATTTATAATAATTGTAAAAATTTTTAATATCATGATAATTTATGATATGATATATCATTAAATAACACATAACATTAATAAAATAACAAAGTACATAAAAATAATAAAATTATAAAATAATAAAACGAACTGTAATGCAATCCGATAAATTTTAAAAAACATTCCGCCATATTGGATCCGCCATTTTGAATTTTTGAAAACTACCTACGTGAAAAAGTTCCCGGGAGACTCCCGGGAATTTCCCGGGAGTTGATTCCCGGGAATCTCCCGGGAATTTCTCAGAAAAAATTCCCGCAAACTTGTTAACCCTTACGTGAAGCATTGTAGGTGTCTCTGAAACAAAAAACTTTTGTTTAAGGCGTAAAAAATTTTTGTAAGTATTTAAAAAGTTTCATTTAACACTAGGAAGTACCCAGAAGCATATTTAAAGTTTAGGTTAATCATATTTTGCATGTTAATTACTTATAGGAACCTATTCAAGGTTTCAGTCTGAGATCCAGGTAATTAATCGACATTTTCCAATGTATTAAACTGAAAAAAATCAATAGTCGATTACTAGGATCTCTCCAGGTACTTCTCTAAAAGTTAGTTAAATTTCGATAACTTCTTCGAGGAAGAAAACCCTAAAATATGAAAGACGATCGCTACAAGAGATTTCCAGGTACCTATGATTACTCAGGGTAATTTTTCGTCAACTTCTGGAACAAGTTAACCTTAAAACGTGATAAACGATCACTAGGAAGTTTCAAAATATTTTCCTAGTGTTCAGGTCGTTTTCATAAACTTTTTCAGGGAAGTTTATGTTAAACAGCTCAATCGTTTACGAGAAGCAATTATCATATTACCTAAACTCAGTCAAAATCAAATATCTACAATTAACCTTCAAATATTTGCTCCTAGGTCAATTGATTTTTATCAACTGTCTCCGTCAAATTAAATATAAATCAGTTAATTATTTATTCCATGTAATTTCAAACAAAAAGTTTTTATCATAATTAAAATTTTTTCTTCTGATTATTTATTTATCAATTTATATTTATATTTTTAATTCTTGAAAAACAACTAAAATATCTTCAAAAATATCGTTGATTTTTAATTTTTATTAAACTTTTATGTACAGACATTTACTAAATTACAGAATAAAACATTTTGATTAATTTTTTTTAACTATAAAACATTCTCGAAGTATTAAACATAACATACAAAAATACCAACAAAATTGTCGGAATTTGAAATTTCATAACCTAAACTTTAAATATGCTTCTGGGTACTTCCTAGTGTTAAATGAAACTTTTTAAATACTTACAAAAATTTTTTACGCCTTAAACAAAAGTTTTTTGTTTCAGAGACACCTACAATGCTTCACGTAAGGGTTAACAAGTTTGCGGGAATTTTTTCTGAGAAATTCCCGGGAGTCTCCCGGGAACTTTTTCACGTGGGAACTACAGATTCATAATCAGCGACCCCAAAAACCCCCGAGTTAGAATTATTAGTAGAATCCGATAAATTTTTAAAAAACATTCCGCCATATTGGACCCGTCATTCTGAATTTTTGAAAACTAACATCAGATTCGTCATCAGCGACCCCAAAAACCCCCAAGTAAATAGTTTCAACTGAATTTGATCATTTTTTTAAATTTTCGTACACGAGATTGTTATATTATAAAAAAATTGACTTTTGGTCGATATTTTTTATCCGTCATCTTGAATTTTAATCAATTAAACTTTACCATTTGAAAGCTTGAAAATTTTGGACGTGATATTGCAAGGTTTTACGAACTCTTCGGACTCAGTATCTTCGGAAAAAATTCATTATTTTTCGAAAAAAAATGGAAATAATATTTATTATCTACACTTTTCGATGATAACCACTGCGCTCATCATTATTTAAGATATTACATGAGAATCTATAAATACTTTTAATAGATTACATAATTAATGCAATTACACAACTATCTTATTAAAAAATTAAATAGAAACGTGAGAATATGTACATTAAAAAGCATGTTTGTAACATATTTTTCATCTTATGAACTGTAAATAAACAATGTTCTACAACCACTTTTTATTGAATAGTTATTTTCTACATTTAATTCAATTGAATTATAATTAACAATAGTTAATAATATTTATTATTAATTTCTATTTATTAATGAATTTAATATTTTTAATTGTAAAATTTATTAAAAGTTAATAAATTAGTGAAGAAGTTTTTTGTTCAATTAGAAGAATAAATTAAAAGAAATTATAACAATGTAAAGAATACTGTAAAACGGGGGTAAAGTTGGTCAATAATATCAGGTACCAATTTTAAAACGTGCACTGACAAAAGAAGTATCTTTATTTAAGGTATTTTTGTACATTTATACCAAAAAATGGCGGATATTTTATAAATTGTTCCGATTCGCTCGAAATTTGGTACTTGGAGGTTTTTTGGGTCGCGGATTACGACTCTGGCGTCAGCTTTAAAAAACTTAAAATGGCAGATTCACATAGTGAATGGAATTTTTTTTAATTGATATGATCCGCTGCAAAATTGACACACAAAAGGTTTCGAAGTCAAGGATTACATTGCATTATAGTAAAGTCACACAGACAATCTACCTCTTGTATTATATGACTCGAAAAAATGCGAGAAAAAATGACTAATTTTATATATTTGACATTTAATATATATATGACATTCCTTTTGCAACCAATCAACCAACCAACCAATCAACAATTAGAAAAACCCCCATGTACTAAATTTACTTTTCTCATCAGCCATATTGGATCCTCCATTTTAAGTTTTATAAAGCTGACGCCAGATTCGTAATCAGCGACCCAAAAACCCCCAAGTACCAAATTTCGAGCGAAACGGAACAATTTATAAAATATCCGCCATATTAAATCCGCCATTTTTTATTTGACGAATCTAGTTAAGTGGTAAGTAAATTTAAGTTTAAATTAATTTAACTTCTAAATTGTAATCCATGGTCATAATTTCAAAGCTAGCTCACTGTTTTTCATTATCTCACAAAATGTACCGAAAATGTAAGTTTTTTGAGGTTAGAAAAAAAATTAACCAACTTGTGAATTCTGACCCGGATTCGGATTCAGCGACCCAAAATACGTGAGAAATAGTCTAGTTCGCCGGACAAAAAAATTTTTCTTGTGGGGCTGTGATATTATTATTTTAAAATAAGAAATAAGTTATTATTTTTACATTTATTTAACGCAGATTCAGTTGGTAATTTTACTTTGTCAATGACAGACATAATTATGGAAGGTGACTTTCCCCGCATTGCAGCGAAAGATCGGTCACAATAAAACGGTGAATATATAGTTTTCTAAACAATAAATAAATATTTTTTTAATGATATCTCTTACCTTAATTCATAATTTTTTATTTAAATTAATAAAAAAATTGAAATATTTCTTAAGGAAAATTATGTTTTGATTCAGTTATGAATCAAAATCAATGGCTTTTTTATATGTAGGGTATAAGATAAAATATATTTGTTTTTAAAATATATATTTTAAATTTGATTATAAAGGCGCGCCATTAATATTAAAAAAAATTATAATAGAGATCATCAGTATTGGGAGTCACTATCAAGCGTGACCGCAATGGACGGTTTGTGAGCTGTGCAGGTGTTCGATCCCTAATGCGTGTGAGATTTTTAATTGTTATTTTAAATGTTATATCTACAGATATTGTGAATTTATCTCAAATAATAAAACAAAAAATGTAAAAATCCTGATTTTAAGATTTAATTTATCCGAAAAATGTTTACCCAGCATTTTTAGAATACACATTGTTTATTGTACAACTAATTTTTTAAAAAGCTATATATTTAGTCAGTTTATCATAGTGGCATTTTTATATTTCCTGTGAAGAAGTGATTATTAGATGTATGTTAAAATCACCTTTGCAACACATATCTATACGATATATGAGTAGTACGTCAGCTATATATGTATTCATGTATGTTAATGACATCTGAAACTCAACAGTTTTATGAGAAAAAATTTCTTTACATTACATTAAAAAAATTATTTACGAAATCAATGGTTTTTAAGTAGAAAATTAATTAACATAAGAAATTATTATTCATTATATAATAATGTTTTCAATAAATTAATTACAAAAGCGAGGAAATTTTTTTGCATAATATGGAAATAGGAATTGCTGATATTAAAACTATATAATATATGTATACTCAAAATTATTTTGTTAAATCGTTTTTATTATTTTAATTTTTTATTAGCAGACAATGGAATAATGAAATCGAGAAAAATGTAAAAAAAATATTTTTCAGAAGAATTTAAAGAGAAATATACTTTTTAATCTATAAAACAGAAACCATACAATTGTACAAAGATATAAAAAATATGTGCAACCTGCTTAATATCTCATATTACATTATATTATTTGTTACTAAAGATATTTTCAATATCTTGACATTTTCCAACAACAATTTGCGAGAAATTTGTAAACTTGAGGCATGTAAAGGTAAGTTTAATATCCTGTATGTAATAGGTAGAACAGTAGAATAAATTGTATTGAATTTCCTTTTAAATAATAATGCAATGCAAATATTTCTAGAAATGCTGTTTCCATTTTGTTAATAAACTTTCTGCAAATTTTATTTGCAAACTTACAATTTCTTATATATTCCAAAAGTTTGCTGGAAAATTTCGAATTTCGCACATTCAATTTCTAAAATGTATTATTTGAGCTAAAAAATACGAAGAAAAAAGAGAAAGGAAAATGATTTACCGAGGTACGGAAGACTTGTTGTTCACTTGCCTTTTATAATCCTTAATTAGATCTGCACTGGTACCACTCTCATCAAAATGAGTTTAATAAAGGTGAGAAATAGGATAATAACGCTTATGTTTATAGTAAACACAGAACTCACGACGCGGACATTTTGGTAGAAACCAGCTAAACGTCCTACACGCGTTTTACACAATTTTCATAATTTAAAAACTCCCTAAGTTAAAACGTGACGGGCAACAATCCAATACTAAATTGAATACTTTGGAATTCCTTGGCTTGATGTGAGTTTCGAAACAAATCGGTAGACTTCGGTTACATTCGGTTCGCTGGCTTTGCAATTTGCTTCGAGCGAAGACTTGCTTCAGCTTACTCTCTTCCCACCTTATTCTTACGTATATCCCTCATTTTTATGGGCCCCACTCTCTAAGCTCTATCCCTTCCCTCAAGAATATAAGTCCTGCTCACTAGGCTACTCATGCTCCGATCATCGTGGCAAAGACGTTATATCACGAATAGAAAATAATTTTTCTTTCTACTTTTTAAAATCTTACGTATATTATAAAAAAAAAATTTCAATACAGTTACAATTTCAGATATTCTTTTTAACATTTAGAATTAAACATTTTTTAAGAAATTTTTAAAACTTTTTAAAATCATTTTTGCTATAAATTGAAACTAAAAAATTAAATGAATAAAAGTGAGATTAGTCATCGACATATATGTTAAAAAGGAACGTGACACCGTTACTTGCAGTACGCTGCTTTAGTACGAGAGACCGTGACAATTTTGAGAAAATCTTTTAGAAATCTTTTTACAGTTTAATTCTTATTTCCTTGTAATTGTGATTAAGTTACAACTATACTATCTGTATTTGAAAATTGTGTTAGCTCTTCATATATTATTTAATTAACTATAATTATTTGAGTGCCATCGTGTAAATTGCGACAATAACAGTCCCCATGCGGGGGTCAATTGTAACAATACCTAAAATATTCTAAAACAAATTATTGCTTATAATCATCTTTATCAATTATTTGTATTTTTCAGGATAAAAGAATGTTATTAAAACCAAAAAGTACCCCTAAATTGAGTTTCAATTTGATATTAAAAAATATTTCGAAATTTTCCAATTAGAAATTTTGAAAACTAATGTTTAACAAATCCCTCACAGCATAGAATATTCCGCGGATATCCACTTTTCATCCCGCGATATCCCTGGGACATCACCGGGAAATCCCGTGGGATGTCCCATGTACACGGAAAAAAATTTCTTGTAGCGAAAACACTACAAATTTCAGAAAAGACAATTCTATAAATTGTCATGTAGACTATTAGAAAATTGTGTTTCAAACACATAAATTGAGAACAGAACAATCCGATTTGCTTTAGTAGAGACATAGCGCATGCGCAACGAATTGTATTGTAACACACTCTATGAAAGTTTGTTTCCCAAACCTCAGCGTTTTGTGAATACACGAAACCGGGTTTTATAGATGGCGCTAAAGATCCTGTTGATAACACTAGAAACTTTTTTCCATGTAGGATATGTGTCTGCATGTGCAAGAAACGCCATGTTATCATTTCACATGTCAGACAACATGCACATAGTGTAAACATCTAAAATTTATCTTGTATATCTAAATATATCTGTTTTCCTTTGAGTGTTTTTAGTTACTGTAAATTAGGTACTCATTTATGGATCATATGCTGTGAAATATAATTATAGCAGATGTAAAGCTTGAAATAGTTTGTTTTGATATTTGTTGCATCAATAGAATTTCTTAAGTATACAAAACAAGTATTTACATGTCGTATCGATCAAATGTCTGCGTTCTGTTATTTATTGTGTCGGTTAAACGATATAATTTTGTTACTTGTCATTTCGGTCACATGACATGTCTCCCTTATGCATTTCGGTTAAATGACAATTCGGTTACATGTCAATTAGGTAATAATCATGTGCTTCCATGAAATCTGTATGTTTAACAATCTGTGACTTTTTCTTTTCACTGAATTTTATGTTATAAATACATAAATCTTAACCAGGTTCAAGTCATGTTATCCTTGTTGCAAATTAAAATTCAAAATTGAGACAAAGTTTTTATTTTGCAGAATAAGATACTCAATCATTTCTTGAAAAATGTTCGTAAAAAAAATTTATCCCTCTGAGTTATTTACAAAAAAATTTCAGTTTTATGCTTTATTGCACCATTAGAAGTCTATACATTTTAAGCTCAGACCAAAAAGCTTGTTACGGCACTGTAAAAACTGGCCGTCTTAAAAGTACAAAAAACGTCTTGTTTTAAGACGTTTTTCGCGTCTAAGATACCAAATGTGTCTTAAAACAAGATGTTTTTTGCACTTTTAAGACGGCTAGTTTTTGCAGTGGGTCTGCACCTGACAGCTAAGGGCAGGGGAGAGTGGGGAGTTGTGCTCCGGGTTTTGTTTTTCGATAAAAACTATTATGTAATTTTTTTTGACTTTTCTATTATTATATAGTACTTTTAGTACACGTACAAACACAACTTTTGACATGATCGATTTATTAAAATTCAAAACGGAAATAGAAAATTTTTCGAAAATACTGGTTTTATGACTTTTCAAAAGCAGTGGAGAATTGTGCTCTACCCGTTGAAAATTGAAGAAAAAAACATATTTTTTAGAATATTATTTATTTAAATTATGAAATGTGAAAAAGTAAGATAATTTACATAAAATAAAGTAATAGATTAGATAATAAAAGATTATTTTTAGATAGTTTAGATAAAATTTAATTATTTTAAAAAGAATTGAATTAAACTAGGTGATTAATTTCATTTGTGTGAATACAGATGTTAAAAAGTCTCATTTCACTAAAGAACAATATTTAAATTGCATAAAACATTCTAATTATTCATAAATAATTCGAAATAAGAATAGAGAGTGCGTATTAGAATTAAAAACTGTTAAATATGTTGTGAGGCGAATATATTTTTTTTTAAATATTTTTTTTTGACGTCGAAAAGTTATTAATTACTGGAAATTTTTATGCATTAAACATTGTGATCATTTTGAAAAAATAACTAGAAATGACCTGAACATAAAGAGACAAAAAAGACTTTTAGAAGAAAATTTTAACTCACTATCTGTAAAGACACGAAAAATGCTTCCAAAGATGACGGGTACCACTTAAAAAGTTAGTTCTTAACGAGAAAAGAATTCGTTAATAGTTTAAATTTGTCATATAAATTGCCATAATAAAAAATTATGGTGGAGCACGACACCCCACTCTCCCCTACAATAAACCCGAGTACGAAATTTCGGTCGGCCCACGGTTATGATTATTTATCGACGGTTGGGCCAACTAGCGGAATGATAACGGTTTACCGTCCAAAGGTGTCGATGATTGACCTAATTATTGATCCCCAGAACGAACCAACTTTAAATGCGTATCCAAATAGCACAACATATGACCATAATATTGTAAATCTTTTAATTTGTTTTATAAAATTTTTCAACTAAGTATTGTAGCATTGTAAAACAACTTTCCAAAAAGTTTCTAGCTCCTAGCACTGTTCAGAATATTTTCTGTAACAAAATCATCACAAATGATCTGTAACTGACGTTCCAACGTAGTTCTAGAACTGTGTCTGAAAAATGTTATGTAGCTGTTCTAAAATTTTGTTGCAGATTAGTTCTGGATGACATTTGTACCTAAAAATGGGAACAATTCTGCAACAGTGTTACATAACAGTTCTATTTTAGAAACAGTCACAAATTTTTTGTAACTTGTGTTCTCTCGCATATCTAGAACTATATCGGAACAATGATATGTAACTGTTCTAAAATTTTGATGAAGTTTAGTTCTGGAATATATTTGTACCTCACAGAAAAAACCTAGTCTCATTTTTGTTGCAAATCAAAATGAGCCAATGCTAAACGACATAGACAGTGGCGCCACCAACCTGGTTCATTTTTGTTGCACATCAAAATGAGTCGCCTAGGCGGCTCATTCTGAGTTCATTTTTTTTCTGTGCTGAGATTAAGAATTTTGAAGTGTTCATAAGTACCTTAACTATTTTCTATGGAATTAATAAATAAATAGTTCATTTTACTTAAGTATGTAGTTAAATTTAAAAAACTCTAAAATTTTTATATATCACATAGTCTTTTTGTTTTTTTTTATAAGCAATACAGTTTTTAAATCCTCCTCAGTCGCAAGTTATCAAATGAATTTTGTATTTATATTCCCATGTTAGGGTAGCGTAATGGTTAGCGTATTAGCCTGTGGATCGATATTGCTATAGAACAGTTGAAATTTGACACTGTTCTAACAATGTTTATTTTAGAGTTTCCTTCTTCTATTACATCAAGTTTTAATATTTTTATTAAGAATAAAAATATTTTGCATGTATTTTTAGGGAATAATCGTGCGATAATAGTTATGTACCATTTTGCTTCCTCGTGGAGGAAGCTTTGTAGACCTTTCGTTTATAAAACTTTTCAAAGTGGTGGAAACAAATTTTTTTCTTTATAGAAACATGTTATATGAGATCCTGATCAATTGTCCGGATGTATGTATGTGTGTGTGTGTGTGTGGATCCCTTTTTTGTTTAGAAGATAACTTTAACAGGTTTTAATGGATTTAGATAAAATTTGGTAGGCTCATTTATCATATTAATATCTCAAATCTGACCAAAGGATTTTGAAAAATACCCAAAAAAAAAATTTTATCGTCTTTTTTCAAAAATTTTTTTTTAATCGAAAAAATTTTTAAATAGAAAAATTTAAGGTTATATATAATAAAATCGTATTCCTTACGTCAAGACGAATCGATCGATATATATAAAGTATATATTTGAGGTAAATTTAAAGAATTAATGAATGTTAAAAAATCAAAAATTCACATTTTGGCTATAAAATTTTGTGATTTTTTAAATTGAAGTTTATATATGAAATAATTGTATTCCTTACGTCAAGACGAATCGATCGATATATATAAAGTATACATTTGAGGTAAATTTAAAGAATTAATGAAAGTTAAAAAATCAAAAATTCACATTTTGGCAATAAAATTTTGCTTTCTCCATGAGGAAGCAAATTTTTTTGCTGATCGTAAAGAGGAAGCAAAATGTTCATGAAATGAACATCTGAATTTACAACTTGTTATAGTTGTTACAAAACAGTTCTAGAACTGTTACAAATACATTTGTAACCATATTCTAGATCTGTTACAGAATCTTACATATCCGCTGAGTACGACATTTTGCGTAACCAGTGTCTCACATGTTCATAACCAGTTAAAGAAGATGTTCTCAAAAAATTTGTAACAGTTCTATAACTGACCTGTAACAGTGTTTGCTGGGATG